AGTCTGTTCTTATTTGGTCTTGGTTTTAAACTGTTTTTAAATATATCTGTGCCTTAGCATGGAATGTCAGATATTGCACTTCATTCTCATGTCTGAAAGTGAAAAAGGGTTTAATGACATTGCTCAGTTTTTCATTGCCTTTAAGCACTGAAATTGGACACTGTGACTGTGCTTTTGATTAACCTGGATGTCCCTAGCATAGGTTTCATATGCACCGTTTCAGTCCACACCCAACTTTTGACTATATGAGTAGCAGTGGAAAAGAAGGCAGCTGTAGGAAAGCATGACTGTTTGTGAGGTATTACTGTAGGAAGCAACCTATGGGACCCTGTAGTCACTTTTAGGCAGAGAAGAGGTGAGCCACAGGGGCATGCATGTGGTTTTTTTAAATTTAGATTTTCCTCTTGCTTTGTCCCCTGCCTCACTAAGCACCAGGTGTCTGATTCTGTGCCCTCTGTTTCTTTTTCTTAGTAGTTTGTCCTGCTCTCTTGAAAGGCAGCACACATGACTTAATTTTTTAATATTAATTTGTCCATCCTGACACCCTGTCTTTAAAAATTGAGGGTTAATTCAGATTTGTGGCCACTTTTATTTTAGGCTGGCATGGTGTAACACGTTTTGTGGCCATGCCTAGTAACTGTATAGTAACAGCTGTCAACATCAAGGCCATGATTCTGCTGGAGATGTAAATGTGACCTGCTATGCTTTAAGAATGTGTGTAAGAGATTTTCAGTTTCAATGCCTACTTTGTTAAGTATAAACTGCATGGATTTTTGTTTGGTTTAGATAGATATTAGATATTAAAAAAATTTTAATGCATGAAGCAGTTCACTTCAGGCAGTAAATATGAATAAACCTTTTATCTGTTTGTAATTGGCTTGTCATCCACAGTTGCTTTTTTTTGTTTTACTTTTTTAAAAAAAAAAAAAGATTTTAGCTTTCATCCTCATCAGGAACATTCCTGGCTATGTCCGATCTGTGTATAGCTCCTTCTTTGCCTGGTTTGGCAAAATTTCTTTAGAGGTAAGTAGAATGACCAGAACTACAGTGAACTGAAACTTAGAAATGTAAGGATGTTTTATTATCTAAATCTTCATATAACACATAGTGAAAACATTTATTGGTTTACTCAATACCATGCTGTGGTGTTTGACCTCTTTTAGCATTATAGCTTCTGTTACACTTAAAAATCACAACTGAAATAGCAGTCTCACAGTAGCAAGTTAATTCTTGTGCTATTTTGGGGGACGGAGTGATTTAAGGTTGGGAGGGTGGGGATTTAATGCTGGAGTATGCTGTGAGATGTATGGAGTTGGAAGATAAAAATTTAAGCCAGTTGAAGAATCAGCATGAATTATACTTACTAGTGTAAGTAGACTTATAAATGTGTTTGCCCTAGAAAGCTTTTTGTGAATAATTAACAAATGTAACTTTACAAACAATGTATATGTAATACATGATTTTGTGGGGTTTTTTTAAAGGATCACATTCCATTCTTCCAATTTCTGATGAATTTTAGGTGCTGGTCAACTGCAGGGATCTGTGCATTCATCAGTTGAAGCACTATCTCTTATTTTTAGGCTTGTTAGTTCAGACCCTCACCAGAGAGACAGTAACTGAGCAGAGGTGGATTCTTCCTCTGCTCTGACAGAATGTATCCCATGCTCCTCGGAGCCTTATTTGGTTAAGGGCCAAGCAAACCCATTTCACTGTGTGTTCTAACAAGCTCATAGTCTTATAGTGAAGACGTGGAATGCAACTTCTGATTTAAACAGAAGTATGTCAGTTGATGCAACAGTAATAATTATATGGCTTTAGGTAAGTAAAAATATTTATAAATACTATTAAACACCTTCTTTTTTCTTTTAGCTTTTCATTTGCCAATACCATATTTGGCTGGCAGCAGACACAAAGGGGATCTTGGTGCTCATTCCTGGATATCCAATGTTTAATGTTCTTGTCAGCACTTTTATATTTGTGTGTGTGGCACATGAAATTTCTCAGATCACTAATGATCTAGCACAGATTGTGGTTCCTAAAGATAACTCAACTCTGCTGAAAAGGTTGCTATGCATAGCTGGATTTTTTTCTGGACTACACCTCTTCTCAGCAATTCAAGATCAGTCAAGGCATTAACTTGGAAACTTTCTTCAGGTTTACTGTTTGTGTGCCTGAACAAAAATTCTCAACTGGAGGTACAAGAAGACATTTAAATTAAGCGTGTGGAAAATGTATATAGCGCAAATGTACATATTTTGTGTGGAAACAGCCTTCTCAAATAATCTGAGAAACAAGAGTGCACTGTACAGAATTGCATGTGAAAATGAGTCTTTTCTACTGGATGTATGTTTCTGTTTACATATCTGTTTAAACGTGACACGAAGAAGTGAGGTGGTTTAGCAGCACCATGGGCGTCTCACGGGACTGAGCCGGCACTGTGGGAGCCGAGTGAAGAGCGGGTGTTCCGGGCGCGCGGCCCACACCTCGCACGTGCTGCCATCATTCCCAGCAGGAACAAAACTGAGCAAACCTGGGATCCTTCGGAATGGCCCCTTCTGGCTGATGTGAAACCAGGGCATTTTTCTGAACAAAAAGGGTAATTTTTTGTTTAGAAATCAGTATTTCGGGTGGAAATAGTACATATTATATGTAGTCCTTTATAAATGGAAATAAAAAGTAATCATCAGTTGAGTGATTGAAGATTATATACAAGTTTACGTAATGTTTTATGGGAGTTTTTTTAGAAATTTAAGGTGTTTTCACAAATATGGTGAATTCTGAGATTAAATTTTTTTATAAAGAAAATTTGATTTTTTTTTTCCCCCTAAAATTGATATTCCATAAATTTTCCACTAATTCATCTAATTGTGTGTAATTCTCTGTACAACCCCCATGAACAAACAGATGAATAATTTTCAGAGACTGAGTTCAAGATGGAGAATTTTTGGAACACCTTTTCAACTGAAATCACATCATATCCACTCCATCAGATCTTAAGGAAATTGGAGAACAGAGAGATGGTGATCACTGAAGCTTTCACTGAGTTTGTAGGTGACCTTGAACTAGGTCTCATTAGGGAACTGGTGCCATATTCTATCCAGTAATAATATTTTCATTTAAAAGGATGCAAGTCAAGGATGCAAGCCACTCTGTTGGTATGAGGAGAAGGTACTGAGTGGTCATCTTTGTTCCATGCAGATGGCTGAATCTCAGAATTACAAGTGAAATGAGATTGCAGCTGTTTGGAGGAACCTTTTTTCCCATCCTTTTTAGCAGTGCCCATCTTTCTTATTAACTCTTTCCTTTAGAAAAAAACCCTAAAATTAAAAGAAATAGTCCTTCAGTGTGGCAGTGACATGCTGTTGTTTACATTCTACTTATCAGTGAAGTTATGGACATTTCTTCCTGTTTGTGGGTTTGATTCAAGTAATAGTTTGACCTTAAGTTGCTTTTTCATTTTATTCTTCTCCTGATTCTTTGTTAGCACTCAAAAAACATGAGCACAGTATTATTTTCCAAGCATGTTGTGCAATTATGTATAATTATAAACAACATGACTCCTAATTTGTACCATATTTACCATCCCATGCATGTTCTTGATCTTATTCCAGGTAAAACATTGAATTCAAACTTGCAGCCATGAACGAGTGCAAAAGAAAATTTGTGAGAATGGCTTCAACTTTTTTTTTTTTTTGGTGGAGAACAGTTTTCTTTTAAAACTGTTTTAACAGTTATCATCATAAAAACACTAAAAATCAATCATTCACTTGCCCCAAATTCAGCAGTTTTACTAAGCCTGCCAGCTATTTTAAAGCTATTGGAAAGATACTCAGCTGTTTGTTCTGTGTGTGCATTACTCCTGATGTTTGGGAAGTTAAACCTCCTCAAAAAATACCTATGAGTGACTGAAGGAAAGGGTGTAGGTGAACACCGTAGACAGGGATAGCATGCATAACCTTCATCTATGCCAGTATTTTGAGCAACAGGAACTGTGAGTTTGAGGGATAACTTTTGTTTTGTTCTTCACAACTTAAGTATTGTAGATATAATTCTATTTATCTGTTGTACAGACTTGGTTAAAAGATTTATTTTTAATGTTTGAAATAATGCACTTGTTTACTATTACTGTATGTGGGATAAATATATTTTCTTTTCAGGTTATGTAAAAATATGAAGTAATTTAAACATTAAATAAATGTGCTGTGGATGCTTATTTTTGTAATGGGAGCAGCATCAATTAAGTAAAAACTTTTTATTGCTTGACTCGAGCTGCACTTCGGTTCACTGTTCAGCCTGCCTGGAATCACAGTTTAGTACTGCAGTTTCTCCAGAGCTCTGCACTTCTGGATACCGTTACTTCGAGGTATTCACTGTATCACAAATTATGTCTGATGCAACGCAGGAAGAAAGATTCTTCTGCAGTAAATGGCACTGTCCCTGCTCTGATGAAATTAGAGTTCCAGTAGCCAAAACCACCCTGGAGCTCAGGTGTCCTCAGCAGAATTCTGCAGTGGAGGCGCAGAACACTTTTCTGCCCAGGTTAGAAGGCAGGAACTCTGAGGCACAGCTCTGCAGGAAAGGACAGGAACTGACTTGGGTTTTCTTTGGTCTGGCAACATCAAGAAACCAAACCCATCTTTAAGATTCGTTTGGGTTAAGGAATTTAGCTTCTAACTGAGCTACTTAAATCCCATACTAAATAGAAGGGGCTCCTTGAGCAAAGGACTCAGTGGTCGTTCCTATCCCCAGAGCTCCGTGTATAATCAGGGAGATAGTATCTAACACAGGCACCTGAACTAAGTGCTGCAAACACTCTCCATCCTTTCTAGTCATGACACCTGCTTAGGCATCGCCCCCAGCTAAACAAACCCTGCACCATCAGCTCCACCCCAGTTCTCAGACACCGACCATCCAGTATTGTTTCAGTAATGTTAACAGCTGTAACACAGTGTTCTTTAGGCATCATTTTGTAAATTAACCAGGCAACAACTTCACTCCTTCATGTTTTCCTATTTATTAGATTTTACATTTCAGATATGTACAAAGACAGCGGCAGGGCTTTCTATTTAATTTGATTGCAACTTAATATAATATCAGTTCATACTGCCATCATAGGTTAAAAGAGGCTGTGAATTTACTGTCTTAATTAATTCTTTAGCCATTAAGTGTCTTTAACCAGCTTTATAAATCTATGCTTTCAGAATAATTGTTTTAATAAGTAAAAATAAATAATTTGTTATTAAACTTACCTCAGATAAATGAAGCTTTCAGTCATAAAATAGGTCAGGTATTCTTAATACCCGAGTCACCTACATCATCAGATTCTTTTCAAAATAGGTGGAACCTCCACTGCTACAAACTAATTTTTTATGCATGTACATAACAGTGTGAGACATTTCCTTAAATATATTGGCACTGTTACATTAATACAAATAAGGTGGGAGCAGCTCAACTGGTAGTTCATTGATTGTCATGTCATCCTCAAGTTACCAGAAATTGTTATGATCCAAACCCAATACTATTTACAAAGTTCAGTCTTAGGTTGCATTAAAAACCATTATTTAAAATCCATTCCATTCATTTCAGTTTCAAAACACTGGCAGCTCATACATTTGAAAACAGTAGTATAAACTAACAGAAATGAAATGCTGATTGTACTCCATTTTTTTTTCACAGCTTGAGTAAAAGATGTAAATGTCTAATTTACTATAAGCCTCAGTGTGCAGTTTTGTGATTCACTTTTCCCTGCTAACCATGCAAGCTGCTGGAAGGGGGGGGGACATGTCTCTGAGGAAGCTGATTGACTGGGGAAGTCTTCCCTGGTACCTTTTGGATGAGTTAGCAAGGTGTGATGGATGTCACTTTGAAAGTGAGTAGGAATGGCTCTTTATTCCAACTGTTTCAGAAACTGCCTTAATTTTTCAACTTTAATGCCTGTAGCTTGAGCTACCTCTCCTGGTCTAACAACCACCAGCAGGATTCCTATGGAATTCCTATGCATTTGCTCCCAAGTTCTGTGGGCTGTGCTGAGCATTCAGGGCAAAACTGACATTGGAGGTTTGACAATACACAAGTATGTACTACGTACTGAGCACTGATTATATACTTTGCTGCAAGAGTTATCATACTTGTTGCACAAAATTTGTCTAAAAAGCAGCTCAGGACTTGTTCTAACTATCTGCTGAGATGCTGCATTCAGGTTCGAGCCTATAAACACGTTTGCTTAAAAATTAAAATAAGTTTTTGTTTTGACAGAACAGGGTCATAACTGTAAAAAGAAAAAAAAAAGCAAAACCAAAAGTGACTACCTTGGTCTTTTTACAAATTCTAATAACCTCATTTTACAAATTCCTTTTATCCTCAGTCTTAAATTCCAGAATTACTCAAATTTCTCTTAGCAGAGACCCCACAAACCTCAGCTAAGGAAATGTAGCCAGCATTTAGTAATTTTAAAGCAGACGCAGTTTTCTGCTTACAATGCAATGTCCTGATGAGCATACAGCTTCTGAAAGAGAAAATATTACAGAAAAAAAGACAAAGCGTAAGTGTCAGCTTAAAACAATACAATGCTTTGAGGTAAAACCCCAAGAAATGTTGGTGTGAGCTGTTACAGCTGCAGACCCTGAAGTCCTGTGTTATGCTGTATTTGAAGATTTAAAGAAGCATCAGAAACTCATTTAAAATCTTGTGAAAAGTGTCAGGAGATAAATTATCACTGTCTATTGAAAAATGTGGAAACCTCAGTACAGATCCTTTTAACAAAGTCCATATTTTTAAGCTTTCAGCTGCAGGGACAAATGCCTCTCAAAGTAACCACATCCCAGGAAAGTATGTCTTAAATCAACTCCTTTTTATGGTTGATTAGATAGCTTGTTCTCCCACAACTCTTTGTACTCCAAAAAGAACAAAGAACGTGGAGGATACAAAAAAATTACCTGCATTGCGAACATCACAAAAAATTTTAAAGATTTTTTTTTGAATAGTCCAAGTATACAGTAACAAAATTAAGCATTTTTTATTTGCACACATTAATTTCTGCCTACAGTAGTTTGCAACAGTTTCTTGTAAGATAACCAGATGAATGAATGGACAGATTTTAAATGTTTTATTGCTTACAGGTTTTCAAATATGGTAAATATCTCGTAAAAGAACAGAAATCCAATTTTCATCAGGAGTAGTTTTAGTTATTTTGTTTGAGGTTTTATTTCTAGGGGTTTTTTTTCCAAAAATAACTTTTCTCATTATCTTTGATATTCTCTAAAAAATTAATGCCTAATAAATGTGCAGTACTATTTCTGAGCCTCATCTTATTGCACAAGTTTTTGTGCTTATACACTACTGCTTTTCCTGTGCAAATATAAGGCAATTTTATCATCCCATTAAACACTCTGAAATCCTTTGAAGTTTTGACTTCCCTGTTAAAACTTTCAGGAGAGATCACAAGACAGAATAAAGCTTGATATTTATTAATACATATAGATATAGATATGAAAGATTATTATCTGAATGTAACAAATATAAAAAGTTATCAGTGTTTACAAATTGTCAAAAATGTCCAAAGTACAAAAGAATACAGTACATTAGTTATATGGAAGTGATTGTACTCTCTGGCACTGAAAGCATTGTAATACTGTGGGCATGCACAATATACACCAGAAAAACTCATGCATCAACCAGAACAAATAAGGAAGTAAGACAATTTGCTGCCTTCTCTGATTACAAATTCATTGCTTCTGTTAGTTTTCTTTCCTCAGGAATACCATTTACCTGCAAATAGATGAGAATCTTTATAATCCATCAGTGGCACATGATGCTTCAACAATATTGAACTGTCAATTGAGAGCACAGCACATAAATAGTATTTATGAGTCCCTTATCAACAACCACATTGGAGAAACACTGCAAAAGTACAACCTGGTCCAAGAGACGACACACACATGACAGAGCTTTGCTTGCTTTCTTCTGGGAAGGGAGAACACTGGGAAAAGGTTGTTTAACTGGGAGTTTATCTTTCTGTTTGGGATCTAACAGGCCTCATAGTCAGACTGAAGCACAAACCAGAAAAGGCAGTACACGGTGTACATGCAATATTTAGTCTTTTGCATTATACCCTATAAACTTTCTCATCTAAACACCTTAAACAGTCCTCATGAATTCCGACTATTGACAGAGAGACAACTACAAAACTTAATGTATCTTTTCATACTGGAGACCAGTAGCAATTTTCATCAGTGTAATATAAACGTTAGATGTGAGTGGTCACCTTTCACACAATTCTTTCCCAGTTAGCTTTTAACCTTGTGAAATAGCCAAGCATTATGTCACCTATTAAGTCTGCCTTTTTAGTTAAGGTTAAAATAAAACCATTTCTTATTGGGGATTCAAATAGTTCCTGAAAAGGACAGTGGTTATTAGCCATGGTCTGCTCTTCAAACTACTAAATATGGCCTACTGAATATTTATAATAGAAATTTCTTATTCATAGTAGTCACTGATAGTATGTTAACAATCCTGAATATATTACTGGGAATTTGAATTTTCTGTACAAAAGGAAGAAAATTTATCAATGAAAATCTAGGTTTTTTTGGCCTCAGGTGTTTTATTTCTGTAAATTTCTTACTTAACAGATGAATAAAATTGATTGCTAAGTTTGTACTCATGCTACTAAAAAAACTTAGTAGTAGCTGAATTTTGTTTTAAATTATAACTTTCTAAAAATCTAACCTTATGACAACAGGAGTCACAGATACCCTGAAGATACCACAGAAGATAAACTAAAGAGGCACATGCCATCGTGTCATGAAGTGCTTGCAGGTTCACCTGCACATCTGAGTGACAAAGCAAGGTGTCATTATAAACTAAGAGGAGAGGAGGAAACACTGTCTGTCCCAAATACATTCCAACACCTGCCCCCCCCCGCCACGGATTTCTGAGAGCTTGTCACAAGCAGTGTCTGTGATGAATATGAAAGAACAGTTGTATTCTACAAAAATTATGTGCTACAGAAAATACAGACACAGGAGGATTTTTAAGATCTATTTTTAGGCAGTTTTTCAGTGCGACTCACAAGTGTCAAACCCATGCTAGCTTGTATTTCATACCTTTTCAAAAATTCCTCTCTGCTGTCACCATACAGCACTACCAGCTGATTTTGCATCTTTTTTTACTGCAAGACACACTGGAATTCTTGTAACAAAACAGTCACAGCAGAAGAGTAGCACTGTGTGACATTTTTATTCTGCCTTCTAAATGTCTGCAGTAGTCAGTGTGAAGAGCTGTGCTAAATGTCAACCCAAACCAGTGCTGGAGGCTTTGGATCAAGGCTTTGACTGCCAGGGTCATCAGCCATTTCCAGCATATGTGCAATAAAGCACACAAATAGCAAAGCTAGCAGAACTACAGTCAGGCTTTTTATAACTGTTTTTAATTTCCAGATAACAAAACAACCCGTATGGGCAAAAAAATCTATTATATACTTGCCTCAAATCTTTGAAATGTTGTCATACGAAATTCTCCTTTAATCCCCGAAAGCAGTAATGAAGAAGAAGGATTTTCAATGAAAAGAAAGAGTTGCTTATGTAACTCCTAAGTTAAAAGAAATCCTCCGCTTGGAGCTGTAGTTCCCATATTATGTTCAATACATATGTATCTCTCTAGTGTTTTGCTTAAATACCTCTTTGAATATTTAAAAATCGTGCTTTAGCCTCTATCTGTTCCCTGTGTGATTCTTACCCCCTTTCACATGGCTATATGGCTGTAGCTTTTTCTCAAACCTGAGATGGCAAGTGGAGAGACCAGTCAAGCCTTAGTCTGCCAGGGCATTCCTGACCTCAATCAGTGCATGAGCATTTGTGAAAAGATACAAAAGTGATGACTAAGACAGGGGAAACCTGAAGCATGCATATGTGCCTCACCACAGATTCCCCAGTATCGACCCTTTATGTCTAATAACAGCAATTAAAGAACTCCTTCTTCAGAGCTTAACTAGTACTGGTGGGAATTAAAAATTTGGGTTTCCTACCGAGTGTCAGAGAATCCCAACCATGTAACTACATTTGGGAATCTGGCTGTAGCTTCATGTTGTAACAGAAGATTATTTATACGAGGTCTCTAACTTAGCTGTACCCGATTCCAGGGTCTCATGCAGAGTCCTAACGTAGCATTTTGCCCACCTGTTCAATCATTCCCATCCCACAATTTTCAATGCTGTATCAAAAAAAAAATTTGGAACGACAATGCTGTAATACTTTACTATATTTGAGAATTATTTCCACTGTCTATAGACTGTATACATTTTGACTAGTGATTCCTCCACACTAGTCACTTAATAGTTACAGTATTCTCTGAGTACTGACCTGCACACTGCTGCTGTGGAATCTGAGTCTGATGTGGCAGGTTCCTATAAAAAAACATTTAATATCTTTAATGCTTCCATACAAAATCTGAATTGTCTTATGATGAAAGCTGAGTATTTACACTTCATTTTTTTTGCTTTTGAAGCAATAATCTATTTTCAGTATGCAAATACAGTTGTCCAAAGGTTAGCCAAGTCCATGAAACAAAGAAAACTAGTGCTAAAGTAGTTCCTATTATTTCACTTATCAGCTAGGTTCAAAGGCTCAGACTTGGTGAAATGCCAGAGGTAACAAGAGTCACCACGGGTTTCTGATGTTAAGCAAAGTTTGGTTTCTGTAAGCGATGAGTACAGCAAAGGTGACAGCATTTGCCACTTAGTTATTGACACTGGAATGAATGAACAGTCAGCCAGTTTTATGGGTTGGACCAGTTCACTTATCAAGGCAAAGTTACATTTTTGTGCCCTGCTTCAGTGTCTGTTTTCACAGTTACCAGATATTAAGGTGTTTTTACAGAAAGGAATTAAGGGTTGGAATATAGGTGAAGCAGATAAATACTTTATGTACAACTCAAGAAAGCCTTTGGTACAAGATTTGGCACCCCAGTCATAAAAAACTGCTATTCTTAATAAAGAAGCCCTAAAAGACAGGGCAGAGCACTTTGATGCAGTTGTACAAGGAATAATTTATACAGCTGTACTTCCTGGAGAATTTAGCTTTGGGACAGGGAGAAGAAAACACGGAACTACATTATGAAGGGAATTCAGGGCAAGGATGTGTAAATTAGGGCCTAGTTAGTGCTGCCACTGGACCACTGGGACCATGCAGGCCTGCCAGCAGAGGAGCTACAAGCTAGAGATGGTGTTGTAGAGATGGCATTGAAAAATGCCAACCACTTCTGAGACCACTGCCTCAGATCTGCTCAGCCCCAGGCACCTCAAGCAAATCTTACCAGAAATGCCTTTTTGCTACAGCACTATGGACTTGTCTAAACTAGAATGTGTGCAAAGCACTGTGTGGGTCTGTCTTAGTAGCTTCATTAAGTTACTGGTAAATGAACTCTAAAGAACAGGAATGAGTATTTTTCTGGTTTCTATCTTGGAGAGAGGGTGGCAACAATGGAAACGGGTGAGAGCTCTAAGTGTTTTCCTTGACGGGTCTGTATTTTTTATCTGTGTAATGGAATATGTTCTTCTATTCAACATCAACATTTCAAACATAAAACATGTGTGACAGGTACATGACCAACCATTTACAAAGTCTGGATTTCCTGGTATGAAACTACCACCAACTTGGTGGTAGTTTTATACCAGAACTCCAAAGACATTGGTTGAGAGACAGGGTGTCTAAAATAGAACAGTTTTAATTGATTCCTCTATCAAAAGTAGTTTTTCTCCAAAATATTCACACATCTAACTGTTCCATGCAAAGCCTCTTGCTAAGCTTTCAGACTGAAAGCCAGCCATCTAATTTTATAACAGAAGGCCTTTCTTGCTGCTGGAAATGCAGACATCAGAGCAATCTTGAACTGAGAGTCAGTACTGAAACCTCCATAAGAAACACATTTCAGAAGACATGCACTGGAATCTACAGTTAAACTGTGCAACACAGTGAGCATTAAGAAATAAAATCTCAACACTTACTGCTGTGTTTGCATCAGTGGCATGCTGGTATTGTCGTAGTTGTCCGTGTGAAGGGGCGGGACAATTTCCCCAGTCACCGGGTGAAACACGGGCAGCGTTGAAAGAGGCCACGCGATCTCTCTGTTTTTAGACATGTCACGAAGCTCTTTGGTTGATTTCTGTATAGCACTGTGGTGGACCAACTGGATGCTATGTCAAAAGGAAATAAAATAGTGAATACATATTTTAAGTGCTCTACCAAAATGGATAGATTTTTACAATTATTATTGTTCTTAAAAATATAAGGACTTTGACGCATGCTACAGACTCTACAGTGCAGCAATTACTGTACCTTTACATAGTTGAATTAATAAATATTGCCTTTATTTAATTTTTAAGGCAGTAATTATTCTATTAGATTTTTTCTGCCTGAATAGATATTTCTCATAGGATCCAAGACTGTGCAGTTTATGGCTAATGTTCCATTTATTTGCTGCAGTTAAAATGAAAGCTTTGGTTAACTCCTGATTCTTGTGGTAGATTCATAAAAGCTCATAAATTAATTTTAAAACACTCCATAGTATAGACCCTGGATACCTTCCAGGATATTTCTTCTCCTGGTCACTGCCTTTAAGAGACAGGCTGGTAAGTCCAATAACCAGGAGTATAAATTGCATATTAACATATTTATTCTAACAACACTATTTTATTTTGAATTATGAGTCGTTAATTTCAAACCCTTTTTATTCTGGTCTTCTATCCTTGCCAGGACTCTGATTTAAAAGCAGCTTTCACATTTATGAATTAAACCATGGTTTAGAGAGAATGAAAGAAGATTATGACACACATGTATGAAGCATGACGAGCTACTGAGAATGAAAATTAAATGGTAAAAGAAAAATAACAGGAAAGAAGACACTTACTCTGGTGTTTGCATGTTTCTCTTTTCCCTAAAAACAAAACAAAATTTATGAATTAAATAATAGCATTGATAGTTGGAACATTAAATCTATCTGATGATGAAAATAGTACATGATGTAGGAATGCTGACAAGGTTATTGCTAAACGCAACTTGGCAGCATTTGCAACGGGGTTTATGAAGAGGCCTTGATGGACGGACATAGAGAGATGTGATAATGGTGACAGACATACACACACAGACACACACAGAGGGAAATGAAAATGCAGGTTAAAGAACAAGCTTCTGGCTAAAATAAATTCTGTGACAAAATGAAATTGTAGTTTGTGTAAGAAATGGCAGGAATCACGTTACTTGCTGCTTTCCTTTTATGTGTTTTTCTTTTACAGTATGTCTAAATTCAGTTAATCTCAACCAGGTTTATGTTATGAAGGTTAGCATTTTAGAAATTACTTAATATCCTCCTGAACCAATGATCTTTTATTAGTATTTTATTTGCTGGGGGCATTTTGGAGAGCTGTGCACATGTAGAGATTTTGGGGAGTTTTGTGCATATGCTGAGTATTTTAAACCTTTCCACTAGAACAACTAAAGGCCCTGTGTCCACTTGCTTGGAAATTAGTCCATGTGCTTAGGTGAGAAATAGTTCAGCATTTCAAGAAGATATCTTTTGGCCTGTTTTAAAGGTTTATAATGAACCAAATGGAATTATTCTAACAAATAGTCCTCTATGCGTTATAATCTTAGAAAAGTCTACAGTTACTTATTAGCGTGGTAAAGTACTCACACTCCTTCCCGTCGGCAGCACATGATATAGGCAAGGATTAGAAAAAGCACCAGTGCTATTGCCGAGGGCACTGCCAGTGTAATTAGGAAATCCGAGTAATAGTCTCTGCTTTTCAGTGTGTCAGAGGGTGGCTTGTATTCTCCACCATCAGGTAATATTCCCTCTCCACGAATCACTTCCTGAAAGGTGGAAACTTGTTTTGTATTGTCAACCTGATACCCAGGGGAAAAAAAAAGAAGAAAAAAAAAAGAGATGATCAAATAACAAAGTAACAGAATGTAAAAACAGGCAGTATCTAACCAACGATAACATATAAAAGGATCCATATTACATGTTAGACAAATTCTATACAATTTTATCCAATCACTTTTTTTACTCAATAGAACCTTACATTTTATGAAAGCTTCTGATCAATGTGATAGTAATGTTATAATATGACTGTTTCATGCCTACCAGAGATACCACGGTTTTTACAGATTAATTTCAGGCATATGTCACACAAACAGTAGTTGAGTAAAAATTCAGTAAACATCCCTAGTGCAAACTAATTCTTTAGTACTGATTGATTTTTGACGAATTAATCCATTTCTTACTAGTCTTCCTAAATAACAATACTGCCCTCTCTTGTATGAGTGTGGCAGAGATGAGAGTCACATACCTATGACTTTCTTCCTCCTCCTTAGCCTTCAGTGCTTTCCATCCAGTGCTCAAAAAAGCAAGAGGCATCAACTGAGCTGCTGAGGGCTGAGCAGCTCATTGCCTGCCCCACACACCCAGTGCAGGAGGCACCACAACAGGAGATGTGCATTTAGTTGATCAGTTGGAGTTTCAAGGTTTTTTTTTTAATTCAACTAACCTTCAGAAGGCTGCATTCCTGGTCACAAGTAACTTTGTTTTTATATTTTTTTAAGTCTATACCTAATGTTCCTCAAAATACAACCTTGTTTTGCTACTGAATTTCCTATTGCATTTGACTGCCTTTCCCAGATGACTTTTTAACTTTCTGCCTCTGTTTTCTTGTTATCTTTAGTTAGATATTACTATTAAAGTTTATCAGTGTTGGCTTAAGACTCTCTTCAGATCATTAATAAAAATCAAATATATTTGCATACATGGTTGAACTTTTGTCTGACTGTTCATTGAGAAATCTTGCAACTTATGGTCATTTCTTTATAATTTACACTTTAGGTAACAACTTATGCAATGGATGAACAGATTTTCATGGAATGCCAGAAATTTTGCTGAGCCTAAAATGCACACATATATGTATATTATTAGTGCAACACAGTTTGCAAAACAAAAGTTAACTTATGTATTCTCCACTCATTAATTCCACAGTACCTTTTAGATACCCTGAGTTCCACCTGGCTGCTTAGCTGAATCTCAAACCCTAACAAATGCACAAAAAATATTGATGTACTTTTTATGTGACTGACAAAAGCCCCCACACAAAGTGAGAATAAGCTATCAAAAAGCAGCATTAAGAAGAAGCATTTATTACATTGTCCCTCTTTGCAGAATTTGGGACCCCCAAACTTGAATCCACTCTTTGATTTGGTGCTAACTGCCTATGTCACCTCATAAAAATGGGAAGAAGAGGTTATGATGGCTGTATTTTTAATCACTTATCTACGTTGTGATTACGGGAAATAGAGCTCAACTCCCTCCCAGCCCATGGCAGAGGAGAATTCCTGCCCCTTGGCTTGCCTTGTGAAAAGCAGACTGTGATTAGATAGAGAGAAGCTCGCCTCCCTTTTCCCTCTGATGAACCAGGTTACAGCAGCAATGCTGCTGGCAACAGTAAACACTCCTAAGACTGTTTAAATTCAGTTATTGTGGCAAGCTGCCAAAACAAATGTTGAATTCAAGAAGGTTGAGTTATAGGCTGCTGCAGAAAATTAGACTTCTCTGAGAGCCTGTTCCTGTTACACATCCCAAGGTGATCTCTGCTTTTATCAAACCAGCATGGCAATGCTGCTTCATGATTACTTTATGAGCCACTGCTACTATCAGACCTTTTTTTCTGAAGTACTCCTAACCAGCCACTCTTCATTCTGCATGAACACTGCTGTGTGCATTATACCTCTGCTGCTCCTTTTAAAATTCACCCTGTTTCCTAAGGCTGTTTCTCCAACTTCTCAAGATCTTTCTGAATGCTATCTGGTCCTTCAATGCAGCTGCAGATCCTTTCAGTTTCACAGAGACTGCAAATTTAATTTAATAAGCCCATTTCATCATCCAGCTATTAATGAAGAATAGCAAGGAATTATTGATAATTATTCTAGGATTATGGCTACCAGCCAGCTCTTCACTAGGTCCTAGCTTCACCTAGGCCACGTTCCTGAGCTTGTTTGTGAGACAGTATTAAAAAGCCTTACCATAAAGGAATGACATCTGCTGCTGCACCTCTGTTCTACTTCCTTCTTGTAGGAGGAAACTGAAGACTTGACAAAGTCTTCACAAAGACTAGCTACCTTCTGCTGTTTTTCAGGTGCTGGTAAGTGTTGCTGTGTACACTTGTGCCTTTTGCAATTTCTCAACAGAAGGCCAATAAAATGTAAAATAACCTGGATATTCTTTTGAAAACAAGTATTTCCGAGTTTTCTAGCAGCTTTCCTAATTTATAGTGTATAGGAAGAAACGACTTGAAGTTATTCAATCAATTTTGTGTATGAATAACTTTTCTCATACTCAGTATGTTTTTTCCACTATAAAAAGCATTTAATCTCTCCCTTTCAGCTTCCTTCTCAGTAATGTGTGAAGCAGCTCAACAATTATCTAAGTTTACTTTATGTACCTTCACCATCATTGTTCAAACTTTGCAACATTCTCTTCCAATACTGTATTATTTCTTGATTTTCCGTACTGGAACTAAAAAAAAATAATCTTAAAAAGCCTCTTTAGGAGTTATACTCCTTCCATGGCAAATAGTCTACTGCTGGGTTGTCATTTTTCTCGTGTTTGAGAAAAATGTTCCCATTTATTTTCATTTACTTCATCAACATTATTTTCTTTTCATTTCATTTTTAACATGAAATATGTTGTAGACAATTTCCAGAAACAGTTTTTTAACAGTATAAAAATGCTATTTAACTGGTCAGTGCTGTAGAATCAATATCTGAGAAAACATACATATATATAGACGCACACTTTTTTTTAGGAAAGCAAGTGTAACTAGCAGTATTAGCATTCTAAATTAATGAACTACATGTACCTAATAATTATCTCATTACTTTTAGTTCTGGACATTTATAGCATTCACTGCTAGTGAAAACAAATATGGTGGTTTCACTGGGGCTCACCCCTAATAGAATTTAACCTACATAGCAAAATCCTTTCACAACCTTAAGCGTGTCTGGTAGATGGAAAAAAAAGTCAGTCACAATAAAGTGCAACTGGCAAAGTTGTCTGGTCAGGCTGGCCAAACTCGCACCTGTACTTCTACAAACATCATTTTAATGCAATAATAAAATAACTCACCAGAGAGATTTTACACCAGTCAATATGAAATTGAGTACGAAATTTTTTATCACAGGTTATTACAGGTTCCATTTCTTGACTGCACCTCAGTTGATTTTGTGGGTTTTCCACTTCTCGTAAACAGGAAGAGAATGGAACATCTGCCCCAACCATCACATACACACTGCAGAAAAAGAGGAGTGACAGACCAGCAGGATGTCTCACAAATCCCCAAAGCACAATTATATACTCTTCCAAACATTATTGCTGTTTACAGCAACATTCAGCTGTTCTTTAAAGACTGAAATTACTTTTAAAAATTATTTTTCTTCATAGTGTACTTTATCTAAGCATACGAAAAACTGACTGAAATCAAAAGGATTTTTCTAGCTGCACATTACAACATACTCTGTTTTGCCACATAATGGAAATATTTGCTTACCAGCAGAAGTGTCAATTTCCATGCAGTCACAGAGCTCCAGGTGTAGGTTCCTCATATAAGTAAATCAGTACTACTTTTGAAAACTGGATTAAAATAGTGTCATTTTATCTTAAGGAAATCTTTAGTCTTGCTCATCATAGTATTTCTGAAGAGTTTCCTCTCATGTTTTCAAACTAAATTTCACAATGACTAGTTATTTCTAAACCTAATACTAATATGAATCTGCCAAATCCCCAGCTCTTCCTAAAAGACTCCATACTGTAGCTATGCTCTGCCAACAAAATTTGCTTCAGAATACTGAAAGCTGAATGTAAACTTAATAATTCATTTAGCATTACCATACATAAAATAAGAGCTACTACACTAATTGTCATATTTAGATATATAGAATGCTGCTGGAAAATACAGTCTGCTGAACCGGGTAATAATGTACCAATGGACCCTGAAACAGAAATTAGGTCCTGGTTGCCACTTGGTATATCAGGCATTATCTAACTAAATATTTGAAGTGTAGCCACTTGTATTAAGTGGTTCTGCTATTACTCTGGCTAATACAGAAATGACTTGCTTCCTTTAAATGTGCTCAAAACCTCCAGATACACAAAAAGGCTCTGAAACAAGATTTTCTGCACCCATCTCAAATTTTGAACCTTCAGCCCTTTCTCGGATATTATTTGACACCAAAATATCTAAATTATCTAAAAATAAACAGGCATCTTTATTTTCACCCTGGAAAAGCCCTATCACAATCAGACTTTGAAAAGACTGAATCCTTATTAGTTTCCAAGAGAAGTACAGTATTTCAGAACAGAATTTATGGTTACGAATCAGAACTGGAAATAGTGCATTCCTGAAGTTTACAGTAAGTGACCTGAGCTCCCCAGATACCTCAGCTTATGACTTTCAGAAGAAAGTCCACAGTGCTCCTGAATCACATAACTAACTGACATTAAGTAAGAGTACAGCTAGAAATTACACTGTTACATGCTAAATGCTTTTAGAAATTTAAGTGTCCCTGTAACCTAAGCTCTATCACATCTTGCTTCAAAATTTTGAGTTTCATGAATTGGAAACCATTAAAAACTTGAAAAGCATGCCAAATGCTCAGAAGTAAAACTGGAATTACAAAATAAGCCAATTTACTACCAACTGGTTCATAATTAATGGAATTTGTTAGTATTCCTTGGACTGTAACATCAAACAGGAGCTGTTGCCTGTTGTAATGGTATCTATCATAGTAAACCTGTACTACAATTAGGGCTCAGAACACCAGTAAACTTATTATATCTAATTCCAAAATATAAAACAGCAATTGCAAAATTTCTAGAAAACCTGAAAAAATATTAAGCTTTTCAGTAAGAAAACAAAGTGTAAAGCAAAAACAACCGACTGACACATGTGCTTACCCCTCTTTCATGTCATTAATAGGAAGTGGAACTCTCCCTCCCCTGTCAAGGGCTGAAGTGATGTTTATAGCATTCAAGCGCTCTGGCTGCCACACATTTTTCACTGCTCCGAGGAAGTCACCAAGAACTTCACTTGCTAACATTTCTTCTACATTCATATTCCTTATGAAGAATTCCGCTTGATATGGTAAAGGAAAATCTAGTTGTGATGAAAGAGTGTTGCATTAAACAAAGGCTCCAATATCTGAAGAAATTATTAATGTAATACTACTTTAAGATTATACAGCTTCCCAAAATTCTTGTATTTGAATTAGTTCATTTTGAACCTAATGTGATTATATTTAATTCAATAGTGAGTACCATTAGCTGTTACTCGAGCTGAAAATCTTCAGTTATTTATAAAGCAACTGGGACTGGAGAAGAGGACTGGAGGAAAAGAGTCTCACCTGGTAAAACCTCATGAAACAGATAAAATTACATTCATGTTAATTTGGGGGTCAAAACTGATCTGCAGCAACAATGGATTCTAACCCACAACACTCCATAATGTAAATAGATGAAAAGATGTAAATATGATGAAAAGAACTAATTTTAAGGACTAAATGTCTATATATGCCTTAACCTGTTTTTTTCTGAATCTGCCTACATAAGTGTTCTTTGCATAAGGCACATGCAGAACTAAGAAAACTAAACAACATGCAGAAAGAGAGGGAAATCCTTAATGTAAAGTCCATTTGAAAAGACAGGGAGAAATTTAAAATTAAAACCAGTTTAATTAAAAACAAAAAAGCTAACTTTTTTTTACGAGTGAGGAAAAACAGTCCTGTATGACAGAAATAATCCATCTTAAATTAACAAAATGAATTAAAGCAGGAAAAATTCTCTTATTTCTCCCTTGTGCCCCTGCATTTGGCTTGAACACCAGACAACTATTTTACAGTATTTTTTATCTTGAAAAACCAAAGCCTATGAGATGGCTTTGCTTATTCGGTTCAAAACACAACAAGCTATTTTCTGTACATACCTTCTGCTGACATTATATTAATGATCAAATTATGCCGTGCTGTCTCAAAGGTACGCCTGTTGTACGCAGTGATCTGGAGTGAAAAAGATATGATTGCAAAACAATGCAAAAATAAAAATCAGGTAAATGAAACATCCGTGAAAATTAAACTGGTAATTCAGAAACACTTTTAAATGTATGAACATTCATTTGCTAATATAAAATAAAATTTGAAAGGTAAGGTCAATTTATTTAATGCAGTACTACCTTCAAGTCGGAATACTAGAGTTTTCTTGACCAGTCTGTAGCCAAATACAATTATCCAAGAAATGTATGTGAAAATAATATTTTGGCCCTGACAGAAGTGTTCTACCACACACGTGTATTCTTTCTTTTCTGTTTTCTTTAAGAACAACCATAAGCAACCATTTTCCCATCCAGCCTCCAAACCCCTCCATCAATACTGTAAGATCTACATTCATTAATAGCTCCTAGAGAACTAAACTAGACAGAGATTTTTTTTTTAAAGCAAAAAGTGTTGGGATTCTCATCTCTGAGACGGGGGTTTAGTTTTAGCTCTAGACCCAGTAAAGTCATACTCCACTAATGGATTCACAAATGTTGCTCCAACATAAGTAGTTTTAAAAAAATCTTGAAATCTGTAACTATAGGGGAAGTGAAAACTAGGGGGTAGATGCAACATTCTTGCATCTTATTTTTGGAAACATACACCTTCATGATTAAAATATGTAAGCATACCAATCTTAAAGTTTAAATATCTAGGATGCCTGAAATGTGTGCAAGTGGTTACTTCCCAGTGGTGACTGTACTCCAAAGTTATAGTACATCAAGTGCTCATTCATAAGAAACACTGAATGAGGCAGGATATCAGTATAAATATGTACTATTTTTTGTACCTTTTTTCCCCTGAAAGTTGATAAATCTTTTATGAAACAAACTTACAAAAACTAATCATCTTTCTAATTTTAGACTTTATTTCACTCATTTCAGAGACAAAGGAGAGGCAGAGGAGTGACAATAGTGACAGAACGATGTTGCTTCTCAGCAAACAGTTACAAACTATTGTGACATTGACTATTATACAAACAAAGTAACAGATGTTGCACTTTTTTAAGGTATTTGAATGAAAAGGAAAAATGCTGTGGAATATCTTCTGCAGGTTCATTTAAGTGGAGAGGGAAAAGCTTACCTAACACAATTAAATCTTGTGTAATATAACAATTTCATTACAAAATTAACAGAAAATATATTTCTGAGATTTCTCCAATCCTCAATTCTGTTAATTTTTCAAAGGGTTGTAACAGAAGTTACAAATCCCCTGGTTGTACAAGCTTTATACAGGAGCACAACAGTACCCACTTTGAGCCTGCACTCCAGCAGTGGGAGCTGCCAGTGTGGCCATGCCCCAGCACCAAGGAATAGCAACAGCAGCAGAGATTGCCCTGTCCTGAATATTCATTCAAACACAAACTGTCTTTGCACAGCTTTCATAGGAGCTGAGCTCAAGAATGTTACCTGCTGTACTGCAGTGCTGTGCATAATGTTAGGCTCTTCTAATCATGAGGTCTCCTCCAATTAATTGACCTACCCATGACATCCCCTCAGGACACGATGGAAGTTATACTCAGGCCAGGAATATACAACCACTCAGATGGCACTAGGAAGTAGATCAAATGCCATCTGCCCTCCTCACATACCATAGAATTAATTCAAAAGCCACATCTGACACTAGGACTGCAAAGAATTAACTTGTATGGTAGGCAACATTTAGTTCAGATATAAGCTTGGGGTCATGCTTAGAACAGAGGTCTTGATATAGATCCTAGAATATAAAAGCACATGCCATTTAAAAACTGGCAATTTTAAATAGTGGCTTCCTCTACAGAAAGCTAAGCAGAGTCTGTAAGAGCTTCTGCACATGATTAATTCTCAGATGTCATTAGTCCTGCTGAAATCAAAACTGAATCATGTATATAAAATTAACCATGGGTGAAATTAGCTACATTATAACTTAACATCCAGAGGTGCCATTCTTGAGGAAGAAAAACTATATCAAATGCAATTTAGAAAAAAAACCACCATTAAGGGTCTAAGACAAATGTACTAGTGCTGCAGCAAAATGGCTGGAGCACGATAATGTGCAGATTTCTTAAACACTGTGAACCACACAGTGCCTGATTCAGTCTGCTGTCTATGAAATACATGGCAGAAAACATACTCCTTTTTCCCTTTCAATTGCTGCTCAATGAATAAGTAGCACTTTTAAACATTTGGATAGCTAACTGTCAAAAATAAAGTTTTGTCATGGTTAACACTTTAATGAACAGAATTACATACATGTAAGTGCTAACTAAAATATAACAATAAACATGAATAATAAACAAGGGAATACTTGATGAAAAGGAATTAAAAAACCCCAACAAACCAAAACTAACATAAAGCCCCACAACTGTTTATTGACTCAAACCTATTTTCCAGTGGGGAGAAGTCTGTCCCACATTTAGGTTGAATGTTACAAAGTTCAGAATTCAGTTATTCTTCAATTACAGTTGTTTACAAAGATTTTTTGTCCTGTATTTTAAATAAAACTTTTATATAGTCATCATTAACTGAATGCCTCTTGGAAAGTTAAAAAAGACAAAAATCAAAAAGTATTGCATGTAGAAGTATTAAGCTTAACTAGTTATTGCTACTTATTTGTTACACCTTAAAAGTAAACTATAAAATGTCATACAATCTGTCTTTCTCTCAAAAGAGGATAAAATGGTACCCAAGAGAAAATGTTAATGTCACAAGTCTGTCCCTGCCTTACAATCTTTTATATAACTATTGTAATTAACTTTTCAAAAATAAGGGGCAATATTTGTTGACAGTTCTGAATACTACACTCTAAAACTTTTTGAACATTTGAAAGAAAATACCTCAATGATGGTTGGTTTGCCCACATTTTCTACAGTTGGTGAGCCATACAGCACTCCATCACTGTATGGTGTCCTTTGTATATAGCGGAGCCATCCAGGTCTGTCAGGGTAACCCATTAAATTGGTATTAAATGTTATAGGATCATTACTTATTTCACCTAGATAAGAAAAATTATATTAGAATATTTACAAGAAAATGCTATATGCTTTGATTTTGATGTTTCCACTAGAAAGTCTTATTCTGGCTGCCAGTTATGTTTTCTGAACCTTTCCAAAATGAAAAAAAAATTGCTAACCTTTACTATATCAGAAGTATGTGAACTCCAACTTAGCACTTTTAAGTATTAAGAAATTCACACATGAAAAGTGTAATCAACTGCAGAGATAATATACTGGCACTTCCTACAGTCCTGGCCAACTGAGTGCTCATGTTCAGTAACTAGCGGGTTTGATTTTTAGAGCTCAGTTCCACATAGAACTGAAGCATCTCACCTCCTCACAGACAAAAGCACAAAGGTTTCAGTCCTTTAATTCTCTCCCCGTCCCAAGTTTCTTTTATGTTTTTAATGATGGCTCCAGGTACTCAATGTACCAGGGAGGGCTTACTGTAAAGAGTGGCTGTGTAATCACCAATGCCTGAAAGCTTCTGTTAGCATCAGGACATACACACGCGTCTTCAGCACCTACAGCCTGGCAGTCATTTTTCTTCAGCAAACACATTGATTCAAAGAAGGGCCAGACATTCCTGTGAAATGGATCCACTGATGGCTACTAAATACAATGGTCCAGCTGCAATCTGTAAAAGTCCCTCAAGTCAAACCACTACTTCCATTCTTGTGGTTCTCATTGATACTCTTAAAAATGCCTGAGTCTGACTTGTTTATTTTAGCTTTTGTAAATGAAATCAAGCATGGCTGAACTCTACCAGATCCCCACTGCTGAGGCAGCATCCAGCTGAGGCACAGAATCCAGTCAAATCCCTTATGAGCCTGCAGACACCTCTGCCTCATGCTCCAACTCAGCTTTCAGATGGCAACAGCAGGCACTTTAGGACAAATGTTGAGAGAAGAAAACAGGCAGGCTGGCACAGAAGGCAGAAACTGAGCCCACTGAGGAATGAACAGCTGTCATCTCCTCCAGAGAGGAACAAAAAGACTGAGACCTGTTGCCAGATTAGTCTTCAGGTACACATTTACACATCTGGTCATGAGTAAAATTAACCAGAACCAGACCAAACCAGCACTCGGGTGTGTAACACAACTTCCCTCGCAATTCTCTCAGGACATCTCAGTAACATAATCTATCACATTCATAACAAAATTCCCAGCATCACAAATGATTCAGGGAAAATTCTGAAAGCCACCTGAGAGACATTCTGGTTAGCCCTTCCTTCATCAAGGAATTATGCTAATTATCCAGCAGACAAAAATAAAAGGACCATGGTAACATCTGGCCTTACAGTGAATTACTGATATGATCACAATCATCTATGGGGACAGCAATTTCAGTAGGATCTGAAATCAGATTCCTATTGCCAGGAATGTTGAGAGAGGTTGCAACTGTAAGGACAATCCATCATTAGTAAAATTTCCAGGTTCCTTCCATCTGTTTGCCAAATCTGGGAGGAAACTGGGACAGAGGTAAACTTCACTCTGCCAGTCACCATGACATAAATGAAGACTCAGGTATTCATGTCAGAAAAAACATCAATTTTTCAAAGAGAAGAAATTTTTAAAACATTTGGGTTTACTTATGACAAAATTTAAGCAATGCTAACAGAAGCTTATTTTTTCTTTAAAGTGAGTCTTGAAAACAGCACTCTCAAATCAATTCAAGAGCTTATTAATGAAACAGGTTTTGATTATGTGTGCACTGTACAGGTATTACAGGTTTTTCATATTTTATAGGAAAATATGGTAGCCACATTTACCTAAATTGGATATATTTATATATTTATTATACCTTTTTATTGTAGACAAACATGTAGGGCTGAATGGTTTCTCTTTCTCTTCCCACCCTCCAGATTGCTTACACATATTCTAACCTGCCAATGATCAATCTTTTAGCTTTGGTGTACACCAAAATACCATACTTAAGAAATCACAGGTCCTTCTCTAAAAACAAATGCTTACTAACATTAAAATGTTTCTAAATGTAGGAAAAAGGCTGAATCCAAAGGAATATTTGTTTTAAATTAAAGAAAACATTACTATGCAGTCTCACATTTGTTTTAATCTCCTATTTTGTCTCATGTTTACTATATGCTTTCAAAGTCCTCCTTCATATAGACTAACGGATACTATGTCTGAGACAGTGATCAGCTAAAGGGCAATTTTAACAGACATAATTATTAAATGTCCACAATTTCATATTTAATGCAAAACTGAATAACAGGAACACTTCCTAATATCATATATATATATATATAATGTATGATTACGCCTTCCAAATTAACTACATTTTTTCACAACACACAGTTATATGTATCTTTTCACAAATTATCACAAACCAGAATATTTTAGAAGTGTAAGACCACATATTTTATTTAATTTGAATATATTTCAATAGAAACTAAAACCTGTCCTTTTTATGTTATATGTTGAACTCTAAGGTACACTAAGTAGACTCCAATGTCTTAAAACAGTAATTTTTCTACATTTGTATATAATATGGAAGATCTTAGCATCCCATACCAGGCTTTGGGTAAGGAGGAAATTCCCCCTTAAAGTACTCTCTCTCCAAAACATGAACAAACAGGACTCCAGCAGAAGGGTATACATTCCGATCAGAGTGCACCCTAGACAGAATCGTGTACACTGAAAAGCAGAAGGAGAGATAAGAGACAGAAAAAAGGCAAAAATGAGACATGCTCTAGGGAACTCCATGCATTTCAACAGCAATGCGGGCATCGGGAAAGGAAAGCAACAAATATTAGATACCTGTTTATTAGTTTTTTAAAAGGTTACAGAGATTGAAGAACAGAATGCAGGGCAAACCTTTTCTTTGCCCAACAGGATCCTTTCCAAGACTGCAGTAAATAAACCTGTCTATGTTAAGATTTCAGAAGTTATACAAGCTCTTTAATTTTATTGTTATAAAAAAGAGGAAGGCTACTGTAATTTTATAGTTCGTTTATTTGTAATATTACATGAATAAAAATACATTAAATTATGACACAATCATGTTTCCTTGGTTTTTACATAAAAAAGGAACATGAGGAATACAGAGAAACCTTAGCAATTCATGGTACTGATTCCCCACTGACTGGAAACAGCAGATTTTTCAGTTCTTACGCAGAAAAGAACAAAGCAATTCACTTCAGCTGACTTCTCTGAGTTCTGAAAGCTAGAATTTCTCAGACCAGCAGGTTCAGATAACATACATCTAAAATTTTGGTTAGAGAGTTCATTAGTGAAGACATTGTGCTTGTATTGAAGGATAAAACAGAAGGACATGGATAATTATAGGCCAGTCAGATGAAACTAATTCCAAACAAAAAAAAATGAAGCCCTGTTTTACAAGAGTAAGAATTAAAAGCCTAAAGGGAAATTAATTAAGAACAACCAGAATATGTAAAAGCAATATGTTATTTTTTATTTAGTACAAAATTAGTTGATAAAGGCATATCTTCTTTTAGGTATAACATATTCAAGGCTGTACTACATACACATTTTAATGAATTAGAAGAAAAAAGAAATTATTATGATAAATTGGATAAGAAACCACTTTAATGACAAGTTTCAAAATTTAAGTATAAATGGAGAATACTGATCTAATAGGTGTTTCTCATAGTATCTTAATAAGATATAATATTAATATTTTTATTACTATTGAATTTTACGTCAATGCCCTGAAAGAATCGATCATTGCTAATAAATTTTGTCAGGGACATGAGGATCACAAAAGTGGTAAATAAAGATGGTAAGTCACAGATAGACACACACAGCTACCTGCCTTGCTTGCTGAATTGAAAGAAACTTTATGAGAAATTACATGTCTGAACAAAGACTATAGGCCATACAGCATGGAGATGCTGTCACTGGGAAGAGTGACTCCAAAAGAGTCTTCAGAGTCATTGTAACAAACTCCTAGGAACAAACTCCTAGGTTCTAGAAGATAAAGGGCTAATTACAACACTTTGATCAATAAGCACGACATATTTGAAATATGGACCAAGCTCAGGTAATTTTTTCATGCTGGTGTAATTTTTTAATCCTAGTATAATTTCCCCAGCCTTATATCAACCTTCTTACTGGAGATTTGCTGCTAATTAGGCATTAATCACAGGCATTCTAGCCCTCTCACCACGTACTCTGTATGGAATCTATCTCACCTAATTTTAGATGCCTACAGAAAAAACATCCACCACTGAGTTAGTCAGGCTCCTTTTATAGTCAGTGGAGAAGACACAGACGCTTCTAGGGGTTGATTAATTTGATTTCTCTTGTAAAATGAGATGAATCATGTCCTATATTCCAGGCTATGGTGACTAGATCTCCATGGACTGCAGAGGCACCTGAGAGGAGATGCAGACATCTGTAATGTAGACCTCCACATTTAGTTACGTAATTCCCACTCTTCAAGCTTAATATTACAGAATTAATAGTCTCAAGTTCTGGATATACTAGTCATCAAATTCCACAGCATTTGCTTTTTCCCATTTTTGAAAACTGCTTTTAACACAGTTCTGAACAGAACATTTTTCTAATAATTTTATCTCAGTGATAAAATTAAAACAATCCTGAAATTTATATTTATTACAATTCTGTGTGGTTAATAAACCAGTTACTGTAATTTTCATTACATAAACTTAAGTACAGTAACATTGCTCTTTGATTTATTTACTTAAAATTAGTAAATGATGATCCAAAAAACCTTTGCATTCAATTCTGTGAGTGAGCTGCAAAAACCAGAAGGAAACTAATTAATTTCCTTTACCATATTTTCAAGAAAAGTTGAAAAAGTACAATAACATTAATAGAGCAGAAAAGCTGACAAAAACATGGTGGCTGGTTGACAATGCATCACATACCTAGAAAAATCTATTTTTCCATTTCTGATGCTTTGCCTCAACAATGAAAATCCATTTCAAACAGGAAGAACAGTGAAAAAGTAATGTACCACAAGCATAAGTTTCTCCATGATGAATAGTTTCAGAAAAAAAAAGGATAATAGCAGTTGCTGGAAAACCCCATATAACATTTATTTCGTCTGTTATAGGAAACCTATTGACACCAATAAATGCCTGCCCATCCCTAGCAATGAAACATCCCCAGCTGCTGAAGTAAGTATGCCAATAAGGATTTGATGCAGATATAAAACACTGATCTTGGTGGAATTCTAGAAACATCTCTCAGAAGAGAAAAACCCACAGATCTATTTTATCTTGGAATGACAAACACATTGTAATGACACAAGTATAGAGATTAAGAATTCAAAAGTTCTTGCTCCCCTTGTAAGAGAAGCCCTCTTCTTTTTCCTCTACAAAGTTCCTTCAAAATTAGAAGGAAAATGATGAGTCTTCAGCCCACTACCTCTATCACTTCAGCTTTTCAATAATGAAACAAGTGAAATGCTATTTTCTTCACAAGTCTTTTCATAAGACTTCCTGAGAATGGAGATGAATGTGTAATCATCTTAGGTGATCTCGGGATGAAAGTGATTATGCTTAACAACTTCTAGATGCTAATCTAATACAGCAGACTGCCAGCTGTGAATTGCCTGGGCAAATTCCCCGTGGTAGACAAAAATCTCAGTGAGATTGCGAAAGGCTTCTGTAAAACTAATATGGGAAATTGAAGATCTCCACTACATAGGATCACATCAGATCCCTGCTAGAAAAAAAGACAGTATCAGCGACATTGACAGCACTGTTTTCTTCTTTCTTGTTTCCAGATCCTTTGGAGGCCTTTCTGTAGATCTCGAGGGGTTTTTTGTTGGTCTTGAACATGGGCACAGCCAGGACTTCAGCCAGGATTATATCAGCCTGCATCCCAGAGCCTGTTATCAGATATAAAAAACCCCCATCTCCAGAAATTTCAGAAGGTTCACCATGTTGGTTGAAGCCTGTATCTGGATGATCTTCAGAAAAAAATCCATCTGGAATTTTTTTTCTGGGAATTTCGATGGGTCCTCTCCCCATTGATATTTAGCAAATGAAGCATAATCCCAGAAATAACTTGATCTGGAGGGCAATTCAGACTGTCTGTCTGGATGGGCAACCAGTGCAAAGCTTTTTCTCAGCTAGCATGCAACAGCTACAATATTCCATGTGTACTTGCATAAATGACAGTAAAATCTTTTACATTTATATGTGAGAAGATTTTTTTAAATTGTTACAGAAAAGTTATTGTATTAAGCAAACTGCAGAGGTATCTCCAAGCAACCAGCCATGATAAGAAAATGTGCAGTATTAGATATACACATTGCCATTATTTCAAGCAAAGCTACAGGAACAGGAAAAGTCAGAGAAGACTCACAAGGACACACAGGTCTGTGAATGTTTGAAGATTGAGGAAATGTTAAGTTTTCCAAGCTACTTACCTTAAAACAGCACCCTATTCCTAAAACACGGACATGACTGAATAAACAAGAGTAATATTAAAAGCAGGTTTGACTGAACCAACATGGGATTTAAATTTTCAACCTAAACTCACCATTCTTCTGAACAGCCTTTATTCTGCTGATAATGTAACTGTGGGCTCGCTTAGTCGTCCAGTTAACAGTTCCATTATTGCCATCAGCAGAGCTTAGCAAAAAAGCTTTTCAGAATAAAACAAATGCAAAAAAAAAAAATTAGATCAACAGAATTCCATAAACAATCTGATCAGATGGGATCAGATGCCTTCTAAACCACGTTTTGGTTTTAGTCAGAGTTTAGGAACCACAGGTTAAAAAAAATGGTGGCGTTTGATTTGAATATATAAACATGTAATAATCTTTCTGACAGTCACCTTTTTGACACCCATTTTTCCAAATAAGCTAAGTTTACACTAAATGTTTAAACCTCTGCAGACGCTTCTGCTGACATAATTGTACTAATAATAAAGATGACAAAGAGCATTCTCTGGTAAATGTATTTGCACTGGCAAAATCTCACATAGAGGCAAAAACATATATAAAGTAACTTTCACCAGCACAGTATATTTTGGCCAAAGAAGGGAAAGTAATATAACCAAGAGCACAGCTTTGCTTGTATAACAATGTTTATACAAAAGACACATGGGGCTGATTGCCTTGCCTTGCAGGCATAACCAATAACCAATTTTGAAAAAAGGACCCATTAAAAATGGTTGTCTATATGCCATACAGCAAGGACACAGCCTGAAATCAGCTGGATCTGTGCTGCTGAAGGAGGAAGAAGTTTTGAATGTGGTGAGGAGCAAATGATTACAGGAGAAAACAAGCAGCTGTGGAGCTGACAAAAAGACTCCATTTCGCCAGTAGCAGAACTGCCTGAGAAAGCTCCCTCCTCACTTCCCACTTTTTTGTTTCTGTTATTCTGTGATGAATAATGGATATATCAGCTCTTTGTACAGTTACAAGCCAACTGAAAATGCAGAGGGAAGGAAATGCAGTCAGGAAAGGGAAAGTAGCCATAATAAGTAGTCTTTATTTTCAAATATTTTGGGAGTGAGAACTCATGTCAAACCCCAGTTCAAAGATGTTATTGGATTAGCATCCTAATTTCCTTGTAAAAACAGCAATACCAGAAACATCAAGTAGCAGTACTTGTGTACAGACACACTGGTTTACAGGAAGAAATGAACACTTCTTGGCAAATACTCCAAGTATGTGAATATCATTTACACTAGAAGCTTAAACATCTGTGGAAACTTCTGACCTGCTACACCAGTCAGCTATGACATTAGTGATATTGCATTCTCCAAACAGAATTTAGGAAGCCAAACAGATCCAGCTTAAGCAGTAATGAAGATACACAATACTTAATCTATGCATGTAAGACAGACTTATTAATGATAAGTTACACAAAACACCAAAAACTGAACTGAGGATGAAGTGTAATAAAAAAAATAATGCATTTTTAATGAATTTTTAATTTCATTTATTTACTAAATTTAATAATTTAATTAATGCAATAATTAACATACCAACACAATAACATTTCTAAATTATACATTTCTGTTAAATTTCTTTAGATTTTTAATATACATAAAGGATCTGATTTAACAAAAAACTATTATTTATGTCCACTGGTTTACATATGTCTGGCAAGACAGATAACTTCTTCTCTACTGAACTGATCCACATATATTGAAAATCTTAATATAATATCATCCTAGGGATTATGAAATTCAATACTGCATAAGACCTTCAGTGTAAATGTTAGTAATTCTTGAAATGCTCAAGAAATTCCAAAAAAGGTAAAACAAACTTGTTCCAATATTTCAACAGGATGAGCTGAGCAATTAGCTACAAATCAGCACCAATACCAGACAAAACAACTAATACAAAATTAGATGACTGAATTACTAAATGAAAAAATAGTATCATAGCTATCACAGTCCTTGTCAAAAGTATTATACTTATCACCATCCTTATTAAGGATATTATCCCTCTTTTTAGACACTTTTGACGAGCCCACAAGTTTTTCCTGATAAAGATAGCAATACTGACAGGTTACACTTAGCAATGCAGCTAATCACCTAACATTTTGATTGAGAAAGTAGATACTAAAATAATTTTAGCATATGTAAATGGAATTGAAAAAAAAGAAGAAAGACAAGTTCCACGTGTATTTTTAAACATAAATGATTGGTAAGTGTCTTTGATTTGGGTTCAGAAGTTGTGCTGTGTTTACCTGTGGGGATTGAAGAAGTTACCTGTTTACTTCTCCATGTCATGCTGCATTTTACAGGGGAACTGGAAAAGCAGCCAGTGTGCCTGTTTTCAAATCAGTGTGCCAGTTTACGATGTGGTATTTGCACATATATCACCACCTATTTCATTTCAAATGACAGGTGTGAGAAGCAAGAGAACACAGCTACTAAAAAGTTAATTTGTTATATGAGATTTCCAGGGGGCCTCACAAGGTTCTGGCATTAGCTTTATGCAACTGGAGTGGGGGGGAGGAGTGGGGGAGAGAGAGAATGACTTAAATGTATAAAATACACTGAACAGAATTTCCAGATAAAAACAAAGGCTAGGAGGCTGACATATAATAGAGATGACATGCTCCTAACAGAGAACAGTCTGCATTCTCTGGTAAAAAGGTGATCAGTGATGTGCACTTCAATAAAATAAAATGTAACCGCACACCAAGAACAAAGGCGGCAGCATGCCATGCACACCACAGAGCACGCAATTCAGGGATGCTCAACTTTCATAACAACCCAGAAATGTAAGTCAGGAAGTAACTGGTTGAACAGAGGCTTTCAGCAGAAGACTGGTTAGAACAGCTGACGTGTAAACAGCAACATCAAGGAGGAACAGGGAGATTTTATTTTTGTACTTGACACAGATATGATCACTGTTCAAATACTCTGTCTAGAAGAGCCTTCAAGAAGCACAGTGACAACATCATGAAGGCTCTGGGAAGATCTGAATGTGATTAAAGGATGACAAAAGAGGCCTTATACTACAGAATGCAGGGATTCAAACCATGCATTTTATCAAAGAGATAGTTTAGAATTAATTTAATCAGCCTTGTACTCACTCCTAAAAAAATGCTAATAGTGTCAGGCTTTTCAGTTTGTTGCACACATTGCCACAGTTGCTGGAGAATGCACCACGGTCTCTAACAGCAGGAATAACTCTGTGCCTGGTACTCAAACAAGCCCAGGTGAAGCACATCACAGTGTTTTCATTTTTCTTTACTTCAATTATATTTTTTTGTAATTAATATTTTAATTTTATTTTCCTTTTTTCTTTAATTATAATTGCATCAATTTATAACTATAAATTATAGTATTATATAAAGTATATTACTTTATACTATTTTTCCCTTTCTTTAATTTTATTTGCATATGGTTTACGCAAAGATTTTAAGTATTACTATTTACCAACAGAGTATTTAACAGAGAAGATACCCACAACAATTTCTGCCCAGCTAACAAGCAAAAAAGGACCTAAGTATCACCTTCCCCATTCCTTTACTGCACTCTGACATCCACACAGCATCCTACACCCTAACCTATCCTCTTATTGCTTCTTTGGAGTAGGATCTCAAGCCCATCTCTCCCACTATTAAAGCAGCATGCAGCTCCAGCTCTCAAAAGCTGGCTCTTTCCTTCTCTCCTACACCTCCACCTTCACCTGGGACCTGACATAAACATGTGCTTGCTACTTTCATGCCACAGACAAGGACCTCAGGCCATGCTTACACTGCCCCTTACTCTTTTACAGCAGAACTCTGCTCCAAAAAACTACCCTTGTACTCTAGTGCATATCCCACCTGGCTCAGTCTTCCTTCCTGCATCCTGAGCTGGAAGCACAGGTCCATACACAGTGCAGATTTCTGATGGGCTGCCAAGAACCATGGAGCAGAACAATCAGAAACTGGCACCTCCGAGTTGAAACAAAACATCTGTAAAGAGGGAACTCTGCATTGAGGTGTTTGGCCCACACTTCAAATCAGAGCCTGTACCCAGGCAGTTCATGAGGATCCACTGGTGTCCACACTGAGATATTTGCCCAGTAGGTCACACTGTCCATCACAGGAGGCACGAAGTTGCAGCACCACCTACTTACTCTCCCTCCTCTTCCAACCTCCATGCACCTTCCTTTTACCTAATACACAGTACATGGGAGAAACTTACTATGAATGAAAGTGGATTCTCAGTGGAAATTCACATTGAGAGTGGATATTTTCTAACAGATAAAATCCTCTTCAATGACAGCTACTACATAAGAAATAAGAATTAATTTGTGTTAGTTCTCTGCTGCGGATTGTTCAGGTTCCTCTGCACTCCATTTATTTGAACCCTGTAAAAGTCCAAATCAACACCAGAAATGTTTCTCAGCTCTATACTATCTTTGTTCAGTAGGCAATGGTTTTCTACCTGTTCCTGTGCTATTCATTGATTACTGTAACATCTGAACATTTCTCCAAAATCATTCAAGAAAAGTAACTGAATAAAGCATTTTGCCAGTCTCACTGTGAAACTTCAGCACTTGCATTCTTGGGAACGCTGCAAATTAAATACTGAGAGAACAAAAACCTCATTATTTACTAATAAAAGCATTTACCCACCAGCATTCTCCTACTGCAGGCCTGACAAGAGAACTGAATTGAGTTAGCATTTCCATGAAGGTGAGGAAAACACTGTCAGTTCCTGTGGTTCCTGCCCGAGGCCCATGGTGTAACCATGAGGTATGACCAAGGAACCCTGTAAGCCTGCTATTCCAGGATGCCTCCTACATTTCTATCATCTTTTGATATGAATTATCAGAGCATCCCTGCAATTACATTCCAAATTTCTAAGGTGGCAATTGATCTGAAAGACTAAGGAATTCAGAAAAGTCATCGATCTCAAGACACTAAGATTTCTGTCTGCTCAGTAGGTTGTTCTTTCTAACTTCTCATCTTCATGGTTTGGATTGTCACTAAAAATAACTCACATTTAAAAGGTATTTTGGCTGTTTGTGTTGCAATTGTAACAACATTTAGACACATTATGTTTACATAAACCTTATTTTTTTGGCTTTACATGATGAGCACCATAACTATGCTATTAACAAAACAATGTATCATTTCAACCTATGTAATATGGTCATGTTAATTTCAACACAAA